GAGAATGTCTTATCATCACAATTATCCAAAAGTCCTTTTCTGCAATTATTTTTATGTGGGGTAGAATTGGTAAGCATAAAAAGCGCATGTGTGTGTGTACTCAATCATGCCTGATTACTTGAGACGCCATGGACCATAAGCTGCCAGGCTCCTCTGTCCATATAATTTTTTAGGCAAAAATACTAGAGTGGGTTGCAATTTCCTACTCCAGGGCATCTTCCCAACCAAGGGATCAAACTCGCTTCTCTCATGTCTCCTGCATTGGCAGGTGGGTTCTTTATCACTAGCACCACCTAAGATCATATATATGATCATATATATATATGTGTGATTATGTGAAAATATGTATTATTTTAAAAAATATGCTACTTTAATGGCCTTAACATTGTTATATGTCTATCATCTATTTTGTAGCATCAGAAATGTGTTTATATATATATATATATACTCCTCAATGAGCTCCCAGAAGCTTTGGAGATATATCTGTTACTCATCTGAGGGATAAAATTTGAGCCTAAGTTTAAATCTCAGCTCTATCACTTTCCAAATGAAGAAGTTAACTTGTCTTATTATCAGTATCCTCATATGTGAAATGAAAAGTATAATAATACTTCACAGGTTATTTTTAGTGATTAAAATGTAATGTATTCATTGTGTTTAGTACAATGCATGCCACATATAGATGCTCAATAGATTTTTCCCAATTCCTATTGGAGTTGACAATTATCACTGAAAAGAGAAAAGCTAAATCACTGGTAAATCTAGTAGTCCAAAGCATGACCTTGAATTTCTAATACCTATGAATTTATGAAATGAGTTAGTTAGCCAGAGAATATTTCAAATAATCAGTTTGGATTAGACACCAAGAATTTTGTTTTCTCTGAATCCACCAGTTTTTCAGAGTTGGATAAAGCAACTGGTAGTTTTTGTAGTGGAGTTAGAGCGATGGCTTCCATCTGAAGCTATTTATAAATGAATACAGAGATCCAGGAAATACAGATTGTGGTAAATCAGAGAGGATTTAGAAAATTGTTATTTTCCATACATGAATGTTACAAGTATAAAGACTAGAAGCACCTGTCTTGTTATTCCCTTTATGTATAGATGCCAACACAATTAAAGAATCCACAGAGGAGAATGATAACTTCTTGAAATAAAGAGGTATAGTGGGAGAGAGAATAATCTGAATTTTTAGTGTTAGTCAACTATGGTTATGTGCATTTTTACCAGATTGTACTTTATCTTCCTTATTCTTAAAAAATATGTGTTTTCTAAAAACATCAGGCTTCATCTTGTGCCAAGGTTAAAGTTTCTCCCCTGCCAACAATTCTGATTCAAAAAGCTCCATGTGGTACATTCATTAAGGCAGATGAGAAAAATCAGGGTGCTGCAGTCTGTTACATTTTTGCATTTTGAGTCTCTAAAGTATTTCAACTAAGTAGTAATATGATTTTATAATAATTACAAACTGATATTTTTTTAAATTTTATTTATATTATCTTTAGGTGAGAGAGTCTGAAGGACTCCTAGGCAGTGAGCCCCAACACACACCCTCGTTGCATTCTGTTTTTGCTATATAGAGCATGATAACAGATAATTTTAATTTAAAGTGCAGCTAGTGGTATTTTACCATTTATAACTAACTAAATAAATAAAACATATTTCTGATTGTGTTCCACTATTCCTTCCCATTCACCTACCTCATGTCTGCATTTGATGCTCTTCTTGGGTATATCTATTATCTCTTGGGATGTTTTTCCCATAGCATTTGCTGTACTATATTGCAATTTGATTTACCTACCTCTTCATACTATTACAGAGATTATCTCTTTACTAGAAGTAATGCGTATATCATTTGTCTTGTTTTTTTTTAACCCCCAAATCAAGCACAGTAACTGGTGCATAGAGGATGCTGCTAACACATGTTTATTGATTCAATGAATGGTTTGCAACTCAGCAAAAACTCTCCTCTAAGAAAAGAAAAACAATGCACTGACTACTTTTATACATATCTGCCAGCTCTTAGCTTTAAAATTTCCATTTCATCAATCAATACCATCTAGTTAATTATCTTGAGATGAAAATATAACTAGAAAAAAAGCTCTATATTATTTACAATTAATATGTACATATTTTCTCTGACTTCTTAATTTTAGATTTCTATTTTGGGCAGGGGCCAAAATTGTCTTTACTATAGGTGATAGATAGATGATTGATGATAGACAGAGGAAGATAGATAGGTAAATATTATAATTAAAGAAAATATGATATTAGAATCTTGACTACAATTTTGTGTCAAGGATTACATTTTCTTAACACTCCATGATGAGATTCTTTTCATTCTTTATTTTATGAAAGTTAATACTCAAATGAATGGTTCATTCACACACACTGAGATAACATAAAGTATCTGACTGTCATATCACACTCACATAAATCTGAGCTCTTACTTACTCAAGAACACAAGGTCTCTGTGGCATGAGCAAAGCAGGGAGCAGCTTTGGATATTTCATGGGGCTCCCTTGGTCTTCTTTTTCTGTATCAGACATATTTTTTGACCCACAGTAATAGAAAAGGTCTCCAACAAGTGAGGAATGCATGTCACCATACCAGTGTGAGCATCTGAGTTATGAAACACTTCTATTTTATATCCAGCTTATTATGGGGATATAATGACACTTTTCAGGAGTGTGCCTCCTAATTCCATAGATTCTAGGTTTCTTTGTTGTTGTTTCATGGCTAAGTCATGTACAAATCTTTGTGACCATGTGAACTGCAGCACACCAGGCTTCCCTGTCCTTCACCATCTCCCAGAGCTTGCTCAAACTCACATCCATTGAGTCAGTAATGCCATACAACCATCTTATCCTCTGTCATCCCCTTCTCCTCCTGTGTTCAATCTTTCCCAGCATGAGGGTCTTTTCAAATGAGCTATTCTTTTCATCAGGTAGTCAAAGTATTGAAACTTCTTAGCATCAGTCCTTCCAATGAATATTCAAGGTTGATTTCCTTTATGACTGACAAGATGGAAGCAATATTTCTGAGATTTTTTTGCCATAAGAAATTTTAAACCAAGATCATCCTTCTAAGAGAAGTTCATAGTGAAACATTCTCCTATTAGCAATTAGTTTTTATCTATTATCCTAAGGTGAGTTATTTGCAAAAATTTATACTGGAATACCTGACTCCCCACACCTCCCACCTCCCAAGAATGTTCCTGCATTACTGGTAAATAAATAAATTCCAGGACAGTTTCTATGACCCTTTTTGCTCTCTGCCCACCCTCTTGACCTCAGTCAATATCACTTTCCAAAATACTTGTCAGTTATTTTTTTCATTATTTGTCCTACAACATTTTCTGCAAAATTGAGTACAGATAATTAAACATACTAGAACCTTGAAGGTCACCAGACTTTGAACCATCCAATGAAGTTAGAGATTGCTTCTATAAAGCACTTTAATTATGTACATATCCCTTCAGGCATCTTCTTATACTCTTACCAACTCAGTTACTTTTTGTTCCACCATTCATGGTTATTTGAACTATTAGTATATACTGATAGAGTGGCTTGATTTAGTGTTTAATCTTTCTCAGGGCAAACTCATTTCCTGTTCTGACCAGTGTTCAGAGGTATGACCTCAATAGGAAGCTCCAACACAGTTTCCCCCAATATTCTCTTACACAGGAAGTCATTATCCATATGTTTTCTTTTCACTTAATCTTGTGGTCTTAACAATTCAATGATCTTGCAAAGCTTTTGTGAATCCATACATTTGCAGAAGAGATAAAATATATTTAGAACACCAAACAGGTAAAATTTGAAGTATCATTCTTCATTACCTTACGAACAGAAACCACTCTTCCAATATAATACATATTCTCAGGGACTGAGATGATAACCAGTAGATTTTGCACCCCATTACATTTGTGAGTAGTACCATATTCCAGATATCATTTTTGTTGTTGTTTAGTCACTAAGTTGTGTCTGATTCTTTGTGACCCCATGAACTGTAATATACCAGGCTCCTCTGTCCTCCACTATCTCCCAGAGTTTGCTCAAATTCATGTCCATTGAATTGGTGATGCTCTCTAACCATCTTATTTATTGCTCCTTATATCAAAGACAATTATATGAACTTATCAATCTATTTATCAATGTTCAGCCTCTAAGTTAGACAATCACAAACTATATAGCTAGCTCTGCCTCCATATATTTTAGTTCTTTTCCTCTGATTGTCATCCGGATTATTCTTTCCTCATTCCTTAAAAGATCTTTTGTGTGTTTACCCTGTACATTGTGATGTCATTTTAACTTGTTTCATTGACTATGATAAAAAAATTCATTTTTAGTCTTGTGACATTTGTACTGTTTTTTCTATGATATTAATTGTATGTATTACATAATATTTCTGGCTCCCTGCCTTCACCTATACCTACCCTTTAAATAAACATTTAATATTTAATTTAAATAAACATACTTTTCACTTCTGTAAAAGTAGGCAGAGAGAAGCAAATGCTTCTAATTGCCTACAAAGTTAATAGAATAGTAAAATTGCTCTCAATAGTGAGCATGGTGTTTCATATTTTCTCAGTGAATCTTGACTGAAGGTTTTAAGTCTATATAACACCCCCCAACCACTTTTTAAGATAATGCTTCTGTAAGTCTTTTAAACCTCACATTGTTTTAAACCTACAACTAAGAGTTTCTTGAACTATTTCAATTCATCATCCAGCATCATCCCACTAATTTAATTAGTATGCTGCAAGGCAGCATTGATACATATCCTGATTATCTTTTGCTATCTTTTGAATTTTTCTCTCCACATTAGCAAAACTTTATTATAAACTTTTATAAACTGAGGAGGCAGTGACATTTTGGAGAAAGATAGTGACTGGAGTCAAGATACTGGACTCTTATCACTAGATATACAATGTGAAGTTCTGAATCAGATGGTTGATAGATACATTTTCTCTACTATAGTGAGAAATTTTAAAAAAATTGGATCAGTAGATTTAATTTTTGTTCCAATTCAAGTTAGCAAATAAATATTCTACAAATTGAGATTAGTGTTAAAGGTTATTGTAAATAGAATAATGAAACATACAGACTGTAGCTGCATTCTTCTCAGCAAAGATTGTGTGAAATACTACTGATAACAAATGTTCATATGAGACCCTTCATTTCATGGCCTTAATCTTGACATCCAGATAGGAATTACAGGGTTATCAATCTCTTTCTGCAGCTGCTGGTGCTAGTTCCAATGCTAATGTTGGTTCTATTTATAGGAAATCTTCCTCCTGTTTTATCTCTGACAACTTGAACAGATCCATTGAAAAGAAGGGTGCTAGGAGACAGAAAAGAAGCTATAGTTTAGAAGAATGGGAGATTTTTACTTTATGTTAGAACGAGGTCATCTAAATATAGTAATCCATCTTTCTAAGATTTAAAAACAACTGAATTCAAACTGTCATAAGCACTTACTCTTTTCAAGGAAGACATTTTTGGCCAAAATATATTTTTGGTCTTTTTTTCTCCATCTTGAAAACTAATGGGATGAGTGTCCGTATGCATTGTTTCTGAATAAAATGTCCAGTGCTGCCTGAAATTCATGCACAAGAAGGACAGCTGATGTGGGGAAAGTATTGCAAGGTGACAGAATTCACTATTCTAAATGCATCCCCAAGGGAGTTTAGAAGCACTAATATTACACATTGAACACCCCTCTCTGCTAGGTGCCTGCATAATCACACCATTGAAATTGACATATTTGTCACAGACAATCACATTGGAAACTTTCTGAAGCTATAAATAATAGCTAGGACACCTATACTATTTTTCAGATGCAGAGACAAGGCACTTAATCTTGATATAATCTGCACAGAGTAAAACCCAGGGGCATTCAAATTGAGTGTTTGTGGCTGGGTTTTTGCATGACACCCAAAGTTCCTCAAACTTAACAAAACTCTTTGGGTTAGATGAAATCTTACAAGACTATCTGGGGCAGCTCCACTGCCTCAGAGATAAATAGTCTTAGTGAGATGATAATATATACTTCTTTAACAGATTTCCTGAGATAATTTTTCATGTGGTCAACAAATATTTGTTATTAAGAACTAAAACTTATGGGCCACATTCCCTACATTCCAGACATGGATCCCAGAACATATGTGTGTGTATGTATAATACTTAGAACATCTCTACTAGAGAAATTAATTTTTACCCTTATTTTATGGATGAAAAATGTGCACCACAGAAAAGTTAAGAACAGGTGTTAATATACTCTAAAAGGCAGTGCATTTTAATAGTTGAAAGCATCGTTTTTGTGGCCTCGGTTTTTAAATCCCATCTCTTCTATTTATTAATTCTATGAAATTAAGCAACATATTTAAGTTCTCTTCACATCAGTGCTTTCATTGGTAAAATGCAGCTAGCAATTATAGCTGCTTCATGGGTAATGACCATACATGAGTGGAGGTAGCCTATCAGGTTTGTATCTAACTCATAATATAGGCTCAATAAGTGTTAATCCTACACTATTCTGTTTCCTATGGTAAGAATGTTTTGTATTCAAGCACTGCACTGAAATGAGAGCCTTTTATGTCTCTCTCCCCTATTAGGCTGTGTGCTCTTCAATTATAAGGACATAGTTTAATTCATGCTAAGTACTTAGCAAGATTGATGTTACACATAATTTCACTGAATGAATACATGAATAAGGCATGATGCCTCTTTCTTAACAGTGTGATATCATGAACCAGAGCACTGAAGTCACTAGAATACAAAACAAGGTGTACAACATGATGATAGCAGAGCCAGTCATGCATTTTCCTGGTTCTCATGTCATTTTTGGAAATAATTGTTTTACAGTAATCATATTAGATGATAATGCTCTTCCTTACTGCTTTTTTTTCTCTGCTAAACGGAGAATTCCTAAACTGTTCAGAGGCAGCACTCCTGTTATCCCACCATCTTTTAAACTGCAGTGCCTGGCTTAACAGTTGTGCATATGCTGTGAGTGTGTGTGTGAACATGCTCACTGGTGTGTGCGTGTGTATGCAAATGAGATGCAAAGGTAGATTCAACTCAGTTATGGCAGCTGTTGTAAACTCAAACTGGACCAGAGGAAAGAGAGATGATTGAAGGACCTGGTCTGCTATTTAGTTTCTGCCTGGCCTTGTGCAAAGCACTTGGCATGAGTTTCTAAGGACAGCAATTAGACCCTCTTCAGTCAATTTCTCCATACCTCCTTAGTAACTTTGATCCTTAGTGGAAGTTATTATAAACAGTTGTGTAACCATTTGCCATGGATTTTTCCAGGGAAATCATAAATCTTAGGTTTATAGTGATATACCCTGAATTGAAGAGAATCTAGTGTGTATTGCTAATAAGGATCCTGGCTTCAGGAAGCTGAAAGAGGACATAGTTGAGTAAAAGAAAGAAAAAGGGCATAGTTAAGTAAATGTTGGAAACCTTCTGCTAGATAACCTGTTTTGCAAATTACCCTGGTATACATAACGCAAAGCCAGGGCTTTGAATATCTCTTCAAAAACAGGCAAACTGTTGCAAGCTTACATTCAATAGGAACTGCTCCTCACCACCTCCCCGACCCTGCTTCTTTGCAGACTTGGAAATGCAGTACCATGCATTGCTAAAATATGAAGAGGTCAAGGAGACATTCAGACCTGAATTAGCACAATATGACAAAGAGAATATTGCTACATGGGCTATGTTTTCCATCACTTAATCTTTTTTAGTGTGCTATCTGTGTTTTGAAAGTGTTTCTTTGCTACTGCAGTTGGTGAAAACCTTCAATCTGAGATCAGTGAGGTTAAAAGAGTTGTCATTTTGACAATTGCCCAACAATCTGTTCAGAGGAACTCAAAGCCTTTTTATTTTATCAAAGGCAAAAACTCATTTCAGAAAGCCTTAGGTAAGAGTCTATTTTTAAACACAGTGTCTTGTAATCAACAGATCTTTTGGAACTTAAACATGTTTTAAATTGTTTTGTTTTCTAAGACTTCTGAATAAAAGAACAGTTTGTTCACAAAAAGTCAGAATACTTGGCAATGAAAGAAGGCAGAGAGGTCACCAAAGGGCATATCAATGTATTAAACTGAGGATCCAAAAAAGTGCATTGAGGAAGGAAGGGTTTCAGACATGTTTCCCATTATTTAAGAATTGTGTTACTCAGTACTGAAAAGATTCTAGTGGGAGTTCTTTTTTTTTTTTTTTTTGGCCTGAAGAACCTAAATAGTATTGGATTGAGTGGTCAATGGGCAGGCATAGAACTAAGTCATAGCACTTTGATTTTAAAGAAAAAATAGTAGCTATAGTTCCCATCTTTGTGCAATTTAAAGATAGAGGGTGAAGCCTGAACAAATACATGGAAAAGAAAAGCAATTGAATAGAACTGAATAGAAAATATCAAATATTTAACTTATTTATTAAATAGTCCTAGGTTGTCCAAAACTTAGATAGAGGAATTAACTATGTAGCCTACCGTTAAAAATATGGCCGCTATGGTACTTCTTATATGACACTCTTGCTTTTTATAGGTTCATTTATTGTAGATCTGAATTCATGTCTTTAAAGGTAGGGTCCACAACCTATTTTTTTTCATATCCCTGTGCCTAACACAGTGTTTATCATATAAAAAATGTTTGATTCATTTGAATAGAAGTTTTTCATAGGAAGAGATAAATGATTATATGCAAGGGTGCTACTTTTTCCTGTTTTATCCTTTACGGTGCTCTTTTTTCATGCTTCATTGAGAGAAAATCTCTAAGGCCAGAAGGATCCTTCTAAAACCTGGCTCTTTGCATGAAGTCCTCAAATTGTAGGGTGTAAGACTTCTGCTCCATTCTTTATTTTTCTCTTTCATGCTCATAATTCTTGATTTGAATTGAAAAGCTATTATCTTTTTTCTGCTTTAGGCTAGTGTTAGTTTAGACATCTATTTCTCATTGTGTATTATTAACTTGTTGAAGCTAGACACATATCTTCATTGTGTGTCCTCAACAGCATTTAGCACGGTGCCTCATAGATGGGAGAAAGCTTGTTAAATTGAATTACATTGATAGTGATCACAGGTTTGGAAAATAGGATGCTTTAGAAAAGATTAAAAGAACACAGATTGTTTATCTTAAACAAAAGATCAAATGCTATTCTAAGAGTTCACAAATCAATAAAGATTTTATATCCCCAGTGGTAGAAATGGATAATGGTTGTAGAGTGGGTGGTTGCTGACTTTTCTCAAAAGTCTCCTTACAGTTTTGGATAAAATGGACAAGGACATACATACTTTCTTTGCATTCTGGCTATATGGGCCAGATATTTTTGAACAGTCATGCCTCACTGGTTCCACTAAGGCTCTTGAAGAATTCAATCCTAACTTCTATCTATGTTAATAATAGGGGAGACTATTGTTTTGTAAACAGGATCACTTGTTGCATATAATTGTTTTCCTTTTTGGCCAAATCATACTTATTAGCTTAACTTGTTTACTATCTTTCACTGAAACATTTACAATATTTTATCAATCTTATCTTTTTCAAAAAATATTTGTTAAGCACTCAATATGGGTCATACCATCAGCAATATACCAGAGATGTGAAAATGAATAAAATGTAGGCTCTGCTCTTGAAGGGTTAGTAATCTGATAGCAAAATATCCAAGTAAAGGAAAATTATATAATTGTATAATATGTGATGATAGGGTTTCCCTGGTGTCTCAGTGGGTAAAAAAATCCACCTACAATGCATGATTCACAGGAGATGAAGTTTCCATCCCTGGGTCAGCAAGATCCTCTGGAGGAGGAAAATGGCAACCCACTCCAGTATCCTTGCCTGGAGAACCCCATAGAGAGAGGAGCCTAGTGGGCTACAGTCCATGGGACCACAAAGAGTCAGACACGACTGAAGTGACTGAGCACTCACACATGCATGTGATGACAAGGAAATAGATTTCAAATTATGTGGGAGCATGTGAATGGGAAGGGAATTATTTGTGTAAGTTAGCACTGCACAATAGAATTACAATGCAAAGACACATATAAGTTAAAATTGTCTAAAATTAAAAAAGAGATGTGGGAAAAATAATTTTAATAATACATTTTCCTTAGCCCAATATAAAAACCATTAATGTTATACTTTATGGTCTTTCTATTTTTTGGCTTGTTTTTGAACTAAATGCATCCTTGAAATCTAGGATGCATTTTATGCTACCAGTGCCTCTCAAATTGGATTAGCCACATTTCAAGTGCTTGATAACAAGATGTGGCTATTGGCTATCATATTGAACAACACAAATTCCAGAATTTAAAAGAATAAATTTTGAGTAAGTTGGTAATGAGCTGGACTCAGAAGATATAAGAACTTCCAGATTTAAGAGCTGATGTAGAGGCATAAGCATATACAAAAGCACAGAAACACCCAGATGTGTTAGGAGATGCTTCATATGTGTAGGCATGACAGAGAATTAATCCAGAGAGAAAACTTGAGGCAAAGCTTTCCAATTATTCTTGAAGAGCTAATAAAACTAGGTTTTAAAGCTAAAAACTCCTCATAATATTATTGGATCTAATAGCTAATAATATAATTTTGCTGCTTTACTCAACTATGTATAGGAGTGCTTATTACATGTCAGTGCTTAGTACATGTTCTTAGCATTTCTTACTTATTAGCTTGCTTAATTCTTGCAACAATTCCATGAGGTAGATGTCATTATTGTGTGAAGTTGCTTCTGTCATGTTGGACTCTTTGTGAACATATGGACCATATACCACCAGGCTCCTCAGACCATAGGATTCTCCAGGCAAGAATACTGGAGTGGATTGCCATTTCCTTTTCCAAGGATTCCTCCCAACCCAGGGATCGAACCCCTGTCTCTTATGTCTCCTGCATTGACAGGCAGGTTCTTTAGCACTAGCTCCATCTGGGAAGCCCAACCCATTTTATAGAGGAGGAAATTGAAACACAAGGACACTAAACATAAGGACACTAAATAATTTGTTCAATGGCACGCAGATAAGTGAAACAAACAAATTTTGACTCCAGAATCTGTGCTCTTAACTACTATGCTATATTAACTTTGCAAATCACTCTCCACTCTTTACTGTACAGACCCACTTTTGAATTTGATGTTCCATAGAGATAGGTAGTGGCTAACCATTTAAGAGCTATCAAAGTTTTAAAATGAGTTAATGAAGCAAGTTTGTTTTCCTAAAAGTAAAAACTGAAGACTAATTACAATTTCAAGCTGTGAAAACATATATGGCAAAGAGTTGATTATATTTTAGGAATGTAGTGTGATCTATGTAAATAGTCTCTAATGTTATTTCAATAATAAGATGGTAGTTGAAGATATCATTTCACCCAAGTTGTTTCTATTGATTTCCTGAAGTGTAAAAGATATATTTATGTTGAATTTAAGAAACACATCTAAAATAATTAGTTGGAAGTAAAAAAAAAAAAAAAACTAAGGAGAAAAGGAACAGGTCGAGTTGACTCCATCTTGAAAAAGAAGGAAATACCATCTTACATTCCCAGTGAACTTTGGACTATGTGCCTGCTTGCATTTTCAGTGAACTTTGGACTATGTGCCTGGTAGCCATGGAGATAACATACCTACAGCAGAACAGACCTCCCAGACTGATAAGCACCAGATTCCATACCAAGATTTCCCATTGCCAGAAAGAATGTAATAATCCCCTTTGTAGTCAATCACCTTTGTAAGCTTTGTGGTTCCCATTGATGTAGGCTGCAATGTATAACCACCTGACTCTTCTCATTATGAATCATGGCTGTAACCTGATTCTATCTCTCTTTAACATTTCCAGGCTAGGTTTAAGATTTGGGGATGGGGGATTGAGCACATACACTTTATATAAGGTTTTCAGAAAAGTCGGTCGGGGTCCCTGGCTAAAGGGAACTCTGCCTCAGACCCACCGGTGTAATAACCTGCACTCCATTATCCAAGCTGTCCTTCTGAGTGAGTTTGTTTCCTGGAGCGTTTGGCTATAACATTTGGTGTGTTGGCCAGGAAGCTCCTCACTTTGAGAAGATAAGTCCCACTTGGGGCTACACTGAGGGCTTGTGGCTCAGTCTTTTAGAGGGGGGAAGGCGCGTTGCCCTTCTGAAAAGATTCTGTTCCTCGATGCCCAGACCTTTCACGTTGGTGGATAGTGGATGGTAGCAGGAGAATTGAGCACTCAGGTAAGGAGGTTCCCAGCCAGCAGGGTGGAAGAGGGGGCCTGATCAAACCCCCCACAAGAGACTAGGGAGTACGTGGACCACGACTGTCACAAAGAGGTGGTATCCACATTGTTCTGGGATAGATTGCTATTGTATTAACAGCGGAAGTTTTGGGGAAGCAAGGCTGTGAATGTCACAGAGGAGGTGGTGTCCACGTCATCTGCATGTAAACTATTACTGGGCAATTGCAAAGGGGCTTTGAGGGGCAGAAACTTGGTCTTTGTGCGTTTGTATTTTGCTCTCCCCAAGGAGGTGTCCTGTCTGCTGTGAAATTCTTGATCCCCTCAGAATTGTCAGGCTAGAAAGATGCGGATACATAAGTGAGTACAAATTGGCTTTTCTGGAGATGTGGGATGTGGGATATTTACCCCATCTGTGTTTTCATCCACACCCGATCAAGCCCACCAAAGCAGAACAGACCTTAAAAAGTCAAGGGAGAAATAGTCTTAGGCCACGTGATGTTCTGGTTCAGCCATGCTGATTGGCAGGTGAAGACCTGCCAATCCCCCTTCTCCCTCTGGGATCTGGCAGGTATGACTCTTCTCACTCCAATTAGAAAGGAGGCAGAATGGCAGTTTAAGTTTTTCATTAAGTGGAGTATCAGAAGTACATAGGGTACTGAGAACTCCATAGACAGAACAAAAAGGAAAGGAAGAAGAAGGTCCGAGAAGATAAGCAAGATAGGGAAATGAATCTAAGGCAGATGTATTGGAGTGCATGATTAAAAGTTTTAAGAAGGGATTTGGAGGTGACTATGGGGTGAAGATGACACCTAACCACCTCTGCCTACTCTGTGAAGTCGAATGGCTCTCTGTGGGAGTAGGATGGCCACCAGAAGGCACCATGAACTTAAAAGTAATGGAAGAAGACTATACAGAGTCACAGGAGAGCCGGGACATCCAGATCAATTTCCAAATATTGACTCAAGGCTAGGGTTAGCTCAAGACTCCCCTCCTTGGCCAAGATTCTATATCAAGAAAGGGAAAGGAGCAATATTAATGGCACAAAAATTGATTAATGATAAAACAAAATTCTGCAGGATTTGGATGGGGACCAACTGGATGATGACGTGCCCACCACCCAGAGCTTCACCAGGACTGGAGGCCACCTTAATGCTTGATCCAGGGCCAACTGAAGTTCCTGCAGCAGCTGCTCCTCCGCCAGCTCTCCTGGAGACACAGAACTGCCCTTTCAGCAGGCTCCGATTCAGGCGATGGAGACCTCTGGTCAACACCCCCAGGATTCCACCCTAGTGGGACCTCCTAGGTTGCATCCGCCTCTCCTGGTGATTGTGAACTACAAGGGGGAAGGAAGCACAGGAATTAGACAAAGGCTATGCCCTGCTAAGAAGCAAGGGGACAGAGCCCGCTGCAGATGCCTCTGAGAGAGACACAACAGCCCTCAGTCCAGGATGCTGATGCAATCTACCACCAGCCTCCAGTGACATGTTTTCCTACCAGCCATTTTCCTCTACACACATATTAAACTGGCAGAGACACACTCCGCCATACTCGGGGGAGCCACAAGCCATGGCTAGACTAATGGAGACTATTTTTCAAACCCACTGCCCTACATGGGATGACATAATCCAACTACAAGTCTCCCTTTGCAGCATTGGAGACACAGGATCCTAACTGAGGCTAGAAAATGGCTAGGAGAAATAGAACCTGAGGGTACCATAAACCCACAGCGGTGGGCAAACTAGCTGCCCCTGATGAGAGGCCCAATGGGGACTATAACACAGAGGAAGGAAGGGGCCACCTGGAGAGATTTCGGGTGGCTATTTTACAAAGCCTCAAGAGGGGGGCCTGAAAACCTATGAATATGACAAAACCCTCCGAAGTGATTCAAAGGGAGACTGAATCACCCTCTGAGTTCTACAAACGACTGTGCGAGGCCTATAGAATTCATATGCCAATAGATCCAGAGACCGTTGGATCTCAGATAGTGGTAAATGCAGACTTTGTGTCTCAAGCCTACTCTGATATCAGATGCAAGTTTCAAAAGGTAAAAGGGATATTGGCCATGACTAGCTCACAAATAATTGAGATAACTGATAAGGTGTTCAGGAATAGAGACATGGAGACAAAAAGGGGAGTTGAGAAAAGACGGAGAGAAGATAGTAAGAGGGCAGACCAAAGGGTCGCAGCACTGGCCACAGTCCTCCTTAGACCTCCTCAGTCCCCTGTGAACTGGAGTCAACTTTACATCAGACCCTCTACAAGAAGGCCCAGGGCTGCCCTACAACCAAATCAACGTGCCCAATGCTGGGGCTTCAGTCACTGGAAAAATGAATGCCCCCAAAATAGTGGGGGGAAGGATTTAGCATTGGCTGTTATAGGGCTGGCTGCACTAGAGACTAAATGGGGTGCCAGGGCTCAAACACACAAGGTCCCTGAGAGCCCATGGTAAAATTTAAAGTGGGGGACCAAATTATTGACTTTATGGTGGACACTGGAGCAGAAATGTCAGTGGTTACCAAACCGGTGTCACCCCTCTCAAAAAGGCCACTGCTATAGCAAGAGTAACTGGGGAAGAGCTGACTAGATTTTTCTGCCTACTCCAAAAATGTCAGATGGGGGGATGGCGAGGACTCATGAATTTCTATACATCCCTGAATGCCCAGTACTTTTGTTGGGAACAGACTTGCTGTGCAAATTGGGGGCACATGTGACCTTTATGCGCTTGAAAAATCCACTCTTAAAGTGGGCTAAACCACCAATTCACTGTCCCTCTTGATAACTCCTCAAGATGAACGGAGGTTGCACAATCTCCTGGATGGGAAGCCGGACGGGAAACCAGATGGGCTAAACGGTGGAAAGAAACCATTAACTCAACAATTCCCTGAGGTCTGGACAGAAGATGCCACTCCCCACCCCCAACCCGCTCCCCGACCAGGGCTTGAAAAACAGCAAGTCCTAGTGGTAATAGAACTCAAACCTGGTGCCACTCCAGTTAGAAAACATCAGTACCCACTGCCACTAGAGGTTTGATGTGGCATATTGGCACAAATAAAGAGACTGAAACAGGTGGGCATGCTGATTGAATGCCAGTCGGCCTGGAACACACTGATCTTACCAGTCAAGAAATAAAGGGGGACAGGACTATAGACCCGTGCAGGACCTCAGACTGGTCAACCAGGCCACCGTGACTACATCCCACCATTCCTAACCCCTATACTTTACTAAGCCTCCTCCCACCGAGTGCTAAGATCTATACCTGTCTAGATCTCAAGGATTCCTTCTTCTGTATACTCCTTGCCCTGGTGTCTCAACCCACTTTGCTTTTGAATGGGAAGACCCAGCAGGGGTCACCAAATAACAGCTCAGCTGGACTCACCTCTCTCAAGGATTTAAGAATCCCCCAACCGTCTTTGGGGAAGACTTGGCTTCTGACTTGGACTCATTCCAGCCAGAGAGGTTCAGATCCTTGTTGCTACAATATGTGGACAATTGCTTTTGGCTGCCAAGAATGGAGAATACTGCTGGGAAGGGACCAAGGCTTTACTAGAGCTGTTGATGTAGTCCGGCTATTGAGTCTTGAAAAAGAAGGCACCGATCTCCAAAGAGGAGGTAAGATATTTGGGGTTTATTCTGAGAGGAGACACAAGGCTGTTAGACTAGTCCAGGAAAGATGTCATTTTGAGAATCCCACAACCAAGAACCAGATGACAGTCTGAGACTTCTTGGGAGCCACTGAATTTTGTAGGATTTGGATTCTTGGCTATTCCCAGATGGTCCAATATATGAACTCCTAACTGGACCAGAAGGAGATTCCCTAAATTGGACTGAGAGACAGCAACAGGCCTTTGAGGAACTAAAGCTGGCAATTATGTCAGCACCCACTTTGGACCTGCCAGACCCTGCTAAGCCACTTACTCCTTACATGACTGAAAAGGACACGGTAGCTATGGGAGTGTTGATCTAGACTATGGGGACATGGAACAGACTTGTGACTTATCTCTTGAAACGATTGGACAATGTTGCCACCGGTTGGCTGGGTGGCTGGGATGCTTATACGCAGTTGCTGTGGTTGCCTTACTGGTCTGGGAGGCAACCAAGCTGACTTTGGGCCAAGACTTGATCATAAAAGTCCCCCATGAGGTCAACACTCTCCTGCAAGGGGACCCCCATAAATGGCTGTCAACATCCCAGATTACTCAGTACCAGGGACTGTTATGTGAGAACCCCCATGTTACTATCAAGCCTTGTCAGGCCCTGAATCCAGCCACTCTCCTTCTTGTGGGAGAAAGTGGGTACTCACATGATTGCAAGGAAATCCTAGAAGAAGTTTATGCCAGCAGACCTGACTTGAGAGACCAGCCAATCTCAGACCCAGATTGGGTCCTGTACACTGCTGGCACCAGCCTGGTGAAACAAAGACAATGACTGTAGGGATACACAACAGTCACAGGAGAAACCACCGTTGAGGCTAGCTCACTGGTCAGCTCAACGGGCCAAACTATATGCTCTAATCCAGGCCCTTGAGCTCTCAAAAGGTAAGAAGACAAACATTTACATAGACTCTAGGTATGATTTTGCTACTTTGCATGTATGTGTGTCTTTATATAAACAGAGAGGTCTTCTGACAGCAAACGGAAAGGATATTAAAAAAATGAAGAAATCTTGACTCTAATAGATGCTCTATGGGAACCTGAAAAGGTAGCAGTGATGCACTGTTGGGGTCACCAAAAGGAAAACACCCCACAAACACAGGGAAACTGGCTAGCAGATAAAACCACAAAACATGTGGCTGAGCAATTTGGGGCTGCTGGTGGGGGATCTATCAGAACCTTTGTACTCTCAAAAATGCCTGAGTTAACTTTGACTCTCCCACAGTATATCCCAGCCCAAGAAGAGCTGGCCGAAGCAGAAAGGGCCACCAAAGCATTAGCCCCCACACTGGTGTCTCAGGTTCACCAGGCAACTCACTTGGGACATGACCAAATGGAAGAATTAATTGGAAAATATTTCCTAATTCCATGACTTTCCTCTTTATGTAGAATGGAATCCCAGAACTGTTCTACTTGCTCACAGGTCAATGCTGCCCCTGGACATAAACAAAAACCTTCAGGAATACAGTTAAAAGACACTCTACCCTTTGAACATTTAGAAGTGGACTTTACTGATATGAAAACCTGCCGACACTATCGTTATTTACTGGTCATAGTATGTACCTTCTTAGGATGGGTGGAGGCCTTTCCTACCCGAACTGAAAAAGCAAATGAAGTGGCTCACTGTCTGCTTCAAGAAATAATCCCCAGATTCGGGTTCCCAACCAGTATAGGATCAGACAACAGCACTGCCTTTGTAGCGGACTTAATTCAACAGGTATATAAAGCTCTAAATATCAAGTGGAAATTACCTATGTCATATAGGCCCCAGAGTTCCAGAATGGTGGAAAGAACCAATTGAACCCTTAAAGAGACACTTTCAAAATGGATCATAGAGACTGACTGTTCATGGATAGACTTGCTTCTGGCAGCCTTACTCAAATTAACGGTAACCCCACCACATTCCCACGATTATTCTCCTCATGAAATTGTCTGTGAGAGACTCCCCCCATAGTAAGACAGCTGTCGGCAAATTTGCCACAGGTAAGGGGGGATGGGGTTTCAAAGCATGAGGTTTCAATTGGGTGATAAATCAGGTAACTAAGTTTGTACAAGAAAATGTGCTGTTCCCCCTTGGGGAATTTATTCACGAGTTTGTGCCCAGTGACCAGGTGTGGGTCAAGGACTGGAAACATGACTCCTTGGCCCCACACTGGAAGGGTCCATATACTGTTCTAACCACACCTACGGCAGTTAAAGTTGCAGGTGTCACTCCCTGGATCCACTACACGAGGGTGAAAAGAGCACGCCTTGCAGACCCAGAGGACGCTGAGTGGACCTCACAAAAGGACCCCACTGATTCCCGCGAAACCAAGATCATCTTAAAGAAGAAGAGAAGAAGCTCTGCAATCAACTGCTGCTTCAAGGACTTGCCGACTTCATTTACCCAAATATGTACCAGGAAACTTAAAATGCAGTACATCGCATTGAGTGATGTTCACACTGGAAATTGAGAGCATCAAGATGGGGGAATAAGGAGGAAAGGAAAAGGCCGAGCTGACTCCATCTTGAAAAGGAAGGACACCATCTTACATTCCCAGTGAACTATAGGCAAGCAGGACTATAGCCTGCTTGCATTTTCAGTGAACTGCGGACTATGTGACTGGTAGCCATGGAGATAACATACCTATGGCAGAACAGGCTTCCCAGACTGATAAACACTGTATTCCATACCAAGATTTCCCATCGCCAGAAGGAATGTAATAATCCCCTTGTAGCCAACCACCTTTGTAATCTTTATGGCACCCACTGGTGTAGGCTGCAATGTATAACCAGGTGACCATTTTGATTATGAATCACGGCTGTAACTTGATTGCATCTCCCTTTAACATTTTCCAGGCTAAGTTTAAGGAATTTGGCGATGGGGGATTGAGCACATACACTTAAGCTATATAAGGTTTTCACAAAGGTCGGTTGGGGTCCCTGGCTAAAGAGGAAACTTGGCCTCGGACCGGCAGGTGTAATAGACTGCAAGGACACTATCCATGCTGTCCTTCTGAGTGAGTTTGTTTCCTGGAGCATTTGGCTATAACAGAATGAAAAGGTTATGCCATGTAAAGACTAATCAAATGAAAGCCAATGTTGTTTTATCAGTTATAGAAAAGCTGTAGATTTTAGGGCAAAAAGCATTGTTAGAGATAATGAATAAAAAATCAGAATGATCATAACTAAATCCACTAGGAAGATATAATATTTCAAAGCAGTTTTATTTATCTAATTACATACCTTCAAAATATATAAAGTAAAAATTGACAGAATTGAAAGAACAATAGAAAAATCTATAATCATTGTGGGTGATTTTAACCACCTCTCTCAGGAACTGACTGAAAAATGAAGATGTGAATGCTGTAAGAATACAGGAAATTTGCCCATCACATTTAACAAACTTGACATAATTGACTTACATGGAACTTTGTACTGCACAACTGCAGACCACCCATTACTTTGAGTACACACAAAAGTTTTGTAAAAATTGATTACATCCTAGGTTAGAAAGCTGCTCTCAATTAAATGCAAGTGCTTTAAATTATAAGGGTACATTTTCCTAATCATAGTGGGTTTAAACTAGAAGTCAATAAGAAAAGGATTTTTAAAACTCCCATATGTTTAAAAATGAGTAAACATTTATAAATGACACTTGTCAAAGAGGAAATGAAAATTGAATTTAGAAAACTGTTTTGAATCGAAAATATTAAAAATTCAACATATCAAAAGTTGTGGGGTGCAGGTAAAATGTACATAGGGTGGAGTTTATATGTATAGCTTAGAAAAAAAATAAAGATTAAGAATCCATAAATTAAACATCCTTCTCAAGAAACTGGAACAATAGCAGCAAATTAAACAAAAATAAATGCTAGAAACAGTGAAAGATTAAAGGAAACATAATAAAACTGATAGAAATATGAAATCATGATTATTTTAAAAAGATCAATAAAATAAAAAAAAAAGGTCATGACACAAAAACTTTCCACTTAAACTTCTAATTGGTAGAAGAGCGCTTTGGTCTCTCTGTCTCTCTCTGTCTCTATCTGTCTGTTTTATCTTCTTTCTGTCTCTATAATGGATAAAATTAATTTTCAAAATTGAACCCTCTTTTCATTATAAACATGCAAAAAAATAAAGTCTTTGAATTGAGCCATGAAGATTAATTAACACTTTATTTTTATTCCCTGTCATTAGATAAATTATGCACATATTTGCTGTATCACACAGTTATTAATAGAATACTGCTGTTGTTTTTTCCCTCCAGTTCCCATCCCTCTGTCTCCACCCCCATACCCGCCTCTTCCAGTGGGTAGTTATAACTTCCCTGGGGTCTGCAGTGTAACCAGTGAAAGTAAAGAGAAGAATGACTCAAAGAATCTTAAGAAATCTTCCAGACGCAGGGATTGAACCTTGGTCTCCTGCATTGTAGGCAGATTCTTTACCTTCTGAGCCATCAGGGGAGCCCAGGAAAATTTGTAGGCTTCATGATATGCTTTAGTATTATGTGATTTTGTGATGCAGTACCTCAAATGAGGTCTAAAAAGAAAAAATAGATAAAACCTGTCATCAAGTAATAACAACTTAATGGACATTTTTCAGTTCAATTCTCTCTTGAAACAAAATCAATCAATATACAGTAATCAGCAATGGGAATGTTTCCAGGAGAGTTTGAAGTTCAAGCCTACCAGTGAGACCAGCACTCCTAATTTGAAATTGTTTTTCCTTAACCATCGAGGGAATGTTATATTTCTGAAAAACATTGGCAAGTTTGATATATCTCGCTCTACTATATCGACTTAAGGAATACATGCAACTAAAATTTGAGAGTTATGATTTATTTGGTGGGAATTTTTAGAACTTCAAGCCCAGGGGAAGCATCAAGTAAACCTGAAAGATCTTCTCTGAGGAGGCAGGAGGAGAAGTCAGGTTATACAGAAGTTTGCAAGAGAGGGCATGTCTGAACATCACAAGTGTTTCTATGAATTAAATAAAACCAGATCTCTCAAGAAATTTAGCACTTTTCTATGTGTGAGAAGCTATAAGAGTCTGGGCTTACTGAAATCATTTCTTTCATATACATCTCAGCTATCTGGGGCCAGTATTCTGTGATTTGATTTTTCAAACTCTTGGTTCCTTACTTATTGTAGGGAGTGGTGGCAATCTGATAGCTGCCTGATGGCAGGTATTGTTTTTCCTAGGCATCTTCCTCTGGGCTCAGAAATTCACATATGGAGGGCAGGAATCACTGATGACTGTGCCATCATTGTTTATTGATATGGAAGGAAATATTCCATTTCTCAACTACTAGTAACTGAAAACACTCTTGTTGGTTCTCTACACTCAAAAAAATCCTCATTAGGATATGCTTAGGTCTAGGCATAGTCTCTGCCTTTGGGATAGATAACACAAATACACAGTTAAATAAATCCAACATGACACATATGGAAATGCTAAGAGAAAGTTTCATCTATACAAAGAAGGCTTAAGTAATCAACTCTAGATGTTCTCTAATCACAAAAGGGGACTAAAATAGCTTAAGATAAAAGGGAAGTCATTAGATTGTACACATCATAGATAAGAAACTGCAGTGTTAGAGCTTAAAAGCACTTCTTAGGGAAGATAAGTAAGAGAAACTCAGGCCAAGTCAGGCATAAAGTGTCCTCCAATAGGTATTTCCAATTATTCTTGGAGTATCATGATAATGTTTGCAGAAGAGTAAAAGAATTGTCAAGATACATCTGACAAAAACTAATAAGATTAGGAACATACTTGTAAAATATCTAGACTTATTTTAGAGGTGAGCTAAGAAATGAGGTGTTAGAACAAGGATGCGTGTTTGAAAGGACAGATCAGAATATCAATCCCAGAAGCCTAAACATAACTTACATATGAGAAGACATCTAGGAGAAAAATATTTCTTTGATAAATGTCATTAAGTTAAATGTTTATCTTGAATCATACCAAAAGATATTAATTCAAGACAGATGGAAGAGTTAGATATAAATATAAAGATTGTATATTTTAGAAAATAACAGAATTTATGTTATAACAATAAGTATTTTCAATAACATTCAAACAGCAGAAACTATAAATGAAAGTTGTGATACCTTATATTGCTAAAAATAATATCTGTTCATCAAATAGAATATTAAGTAGTTGGTAGAAAAAGCTGAAATTTGAAGAACAAATTTCCAATTCATAAAACTAACAGATGATAGCTTTTTAATACCTATATTTGTCCACATAGCATTTGTTATACACACATGTATATGTTTACATTTATATATTTTTTCTACAAGTTATAAGTAAAGAAAAAGAACCTCAGTGAAAAGAAACTGTAATTATGAACAGATATTCCATTATAAAATGTCCAATAAACCATTATAAATATTTTTTGCCTAACTATGAATTGGGAAAATCACAAAGAAACTACATTTTTTGCTTAAATTTCTGGAAAACATAAAGTCTAATTTTGATAGTGTTGGCAAAACACTTGGCAGTGAATTTCTCCTCTAAACCACAATTTGCTATCATTTAATAAAGTTGAGTAAGCATAGCATAAGCTAAGTCACTTCAGTCGTGTCTGACTCTGTGCAACCCCATAGACGGCAGCCCACCAGGCTCCCCCATCCCTGAGATTCTCCAGCCAAGAACACTGGAGTGGGTTGCTATTTCCTTCTCCATAGAATGTCATAATTCCAATCTTGAGCACATGATTAATAGAAACGTTTGCCCATATGAACAAAGAAACAGAAAAGAAAGTTCTTGATAACCATGATCAGGAAGGAAAAATATATCAGAAAGGGAAATGCATTCATTGACAGGAGATTGGACGAAAACTGAGGTACAATCACACATGAAACATGTCCCGGTAGTACAAATAAATGTACTGCTCTATACACTAAAAATTATGTACTTTAGAAATATATAAATGAAGTTAGGTACAAAAGTATAGAGAATGGGGTAAAATTTATAATGTGTAAATGAGCAAAGCAATA